TTAAAAGTCCAATTGTCCTTGTGAAAACTCAAACCCTAATTTGAGGTATCAGTGCTGAGGAAGTGTCTTGTCCTAGCCAATCCTTGTGCAAGCTTGAACTATTGAAGATCTTGTGGGAAATGTCTTGAGAAATGAGAGAGAAAATTTTAGGGTACAACAATTATGTTTATTGATTTTATCATTATCTTAATTCCATATGACTTATGCATATCCGAGTTTTCAACAACTAGGTTCGTTTAGACTATTATTTTGATCTAGGCCAAAACCTTTCGCTCAACATTGTTTTTCAAATAATTTTTAAAAACCTATTTTAAAAGGTGATCTTTAATTTGTGGATATATTCACCCCCTCCTCTAGATAAGTCGCCGTAGTCTAACACATATCAATACTGGTAGAATCTCATATATGCATAGCATGAAGGGTGGAGTTGTGAGGGAGCCACGACCAGATGGTTTAGTACCTCTACCTCAAAAGCAGTAAAAGGAAGATGAAGACCCGCGGTGGAGAAATCACATTCATAAAAAGGAATGACGCAAGCAACATACTTGTCACATATCATTTCATCTTCAAAAGGAATCACAATTCTCCAATCTAAAGACAAGCCTACCTCTGTATAAACACCATTAAAAGTTATTGATTCGGCAAAAACAAAAGTAGTGGAAGAATAAGCAAGATACATCCAATAAGATGAAGTATCATTTTGAGACTTACTAATACTTTTCTATAATTTCTTACTTATAATTCACTAATTTTGCAGTTACACGAAGTGAAATATATAAGGAGGAAACAATGAAACTGTCAAACTAGAAAAAGAAGACTAAAAAAGGATGAAAATGCTTATCTCTTGAAAAGAAATTGTGTTCTGAAGGCAAAAAGACTTCACCAAACACGTCAAAATCTTTCACATTTAACACTCAAGAATTTAGATTCCTAAGAACCGTCATGATGATATCGACAAAAATAAGTTTGAAGTATGGTGAATTTAATGCATTATTCCTTAAAGAACTGAAGCGATCTAGAAGATGTTCCTCATCCGGAGTCATTATAACAAGCTCTCGCCTACCTATGCCTCGAAAAGGGCTTGAGGGAAACTGTTACGATCCGATCAGAAAGACCACAGACGACCTAAGACGACCATTTCGACTCAGCCTACAATCTGATAAAGGTTCCACTCTCTTATATGCATGGTCTTTAAAAGTTGAAATAAAATTTGTCTTTTTCCTTTTTTTAAACTCTTTTCTTAAAAAGTCAACAACTATAGAAGAATCCATACATGTTATCTTTGTTGATCTAACCCCTTTTGCAATAAAGTAGAATTATGTGTATATATAGGTATTATGTAGAACACTCTTCTAGAAATTCAAGATTAAGACAAGGGTCAAGATAAAAGTAAATAAATATCAAGAAAAATACCAAGAAAGTTATTGGAAATGTTTCTAAGAGAGTCACGTCGACACTTCCTTAGCAAGGTATGTAATACTTTATGGCTCTTTATTTTCCAAATTGAACAAAAGAATGTTGATGAAGCTCTCTTTGAAGAAATTTTGTCTCATGCAATCTAAGATGAGTTAAACCAATTTGAGAGAAATAATGTTTGGGAAGTTGTTTCCAAACCTTCATCTAATGTAGTGATTGAAATTTTTGGGTATGAGATATTATTGATGAACTTCACCAATAAGCATTTTTTATATTGAGCCTCTTCAGAAAGATATTTCCCAACATTTTTTATATTGAGCCTCTTCACAAACCGACATTTTTTATGTGAAAAAAGTTATTTCCCAACAAAAAAAAAGACCCTCAGTCCAATACTTGAGAAATAGGTCACATCGGCCCTCCGCTCCATTGCCAACATCGCAAATAATAGTGTGTGCTCCCGGGTTGACGGGGATCACCAGGAAAAACCGATCCAAAAAAGATGAGAGCTCCAAAATATGTTCGAAACTATAAATGATCGGGCTTGAAGTAAAGTAATACTCTACCCCTAGCTAGAGACACCGGGTCAGAGACATTTGAAAAGGTAAAGAAAAAGGAACACACAAGGTCTCCCTTTCACATGTTCATACCAATACTAGTAAAATCTCATATATGCATAGCATGAAGGGTGGAGTTGTGAGGGAGCCATGACCAGATGGTTCAGTACCTATACTTCAAAAGTAGTAAATGGTAGACAAAGGTCTTATGCGTTGAATCAATTATGAGCATATTGGGAAACGTGTTGAACAACTTTATGGAATCAGGATGAGTCCAAAATATATCTCTAACTGTTACTCTGTCCTCATATCTTTGGTTCTTATATACGTATTTGTTATCATCTAGAAATTTCAAAAGGTGTTGCATTTCGGTCCTAATCCCCTAAGCGCTAATTTAGATTGATAGCACTTGTTGTACACTTGCTTAATATTTGCAATATTTTCGGATCTTTTACGCTTCAAGGTTGCAAGTATATTTTTAGGTTACACCAAATTCAATGTCATTTCAAAAACACATTCATTCTCTTCCGACAAGAGACGACATGCAAATAGATGACCAGCTCATTTTTCACACAAATCATGGTTACGTAAACCACTTATCACATTAAATCTCCATTTATTATTTGCTAACTAATAATCACACAACTTATATGGACACTCACATTTTCTTAAACTGGTATCTTCTCGCATGTCAATGTATTAAATGCACTTCTCCTATCTGAACCATTATCGAATCTTCTGATTACAACACCAAACCCCAGTTTAGATACCTCTGTACGAATCCATTACAGCATGTGATCACGAAATTCAAACTCTTGTTCATTTTTAAAATAGTTGCCCATATCTACCTCTTTCACTACTATAGGTGAAAGATCCTGAGACACAATATGTTTAAGAATAACATCAGAATGCACCATACCTAATGAAAATCAAAATATAAAATACTAAGAAACATCTAAAACAGAAAACAATTTTGTTGGAAAATCAACACAAACAATTTTTGAAAATACATCTCTGAATGAGTTTATATATAATTTGAAGATACACTTCTAAAGACAGCATAATCTTTTTCAACTTCAAAACAAGATTAATGTGAGCAATGAGGGTTGAAATGGATGAATTTTACCTTAAATTTCAACTCTTTTTGTTCCTTTTGATTTTATGAAACACAAAAATAAAATTTTGGAGTGAAAAACTTGATTGAGAATGAATGCATTTTTGGAGAGGGTTTATGGAAAAAAGTGGAAATGAATTATGATCGTGCAGGTGGCTACTTTTAGTAATTTCACATTTGTTTTTTTGAAAATACATCTCTGAAATAATCTGACACGCGAATGTGGCAGAATTTTAAATTTCCGCTTCAATTCTCCAAAGGTACATCTTCGAATAACTCCATGTAATGGTCAACTTTCAATTTATTTTATCAAACTATCGAAGATATATATCCGAAATAAAATTTATTTTATCAAACTAACAAAGATATATCTTCGGAATAAAATTAAGTTTGTCTATTAGGTGAATCCATTTTTGTTCATTTGTGAGTGATGTAAAAGGTGCGTCCAAAAATGTAATTCTGAAATTAAATAGATATTTTCGATTTTACATAGAATTTTTTTGCACCATATAGGGTGCATTGAGTCTCAAAAATCTTTTTACAATATTCATATTTCTTATTGATGGTTATACACTTGATGAAATCATCTCTGAAGTGGGACCATTAGCATGAGATTTTAGCAAAATTTCTATAGCACTCGTCAATAACAAGGGCATGCCCTAGTAGCACAAAACAACGTAACAACATAAATTGCAAGAGCATAATGTGATTGTGAGACCTTGAGTTAAAACAGAATTTTGTTCTATTTTCATTTTTATGTCTTAAATTTCATGTGACTTTTATGAAGAAAAATAAGTTTTGAATTGATCTCCTTTAATTTCTGATGTGACTCTATTGTAAAAAAGTTTTTTTTTTCCCATGTATTTTATCTAATGTACTCGGTGCTTTGACCATGCAATCAAATGTGCTTTGACCATGTATTTTATCTAATAGTACTTGTGTGTGGAGATACTTGAGCCATCAGTGGCACACACGATTTGCAAACAGAAATATTACTAAATTTTTGTGGATAAATATTAAGTCTTCTGAGAAATATTCAGGTTGTTAAGTTACCATCAACCAGTTGGGGATGAACATGTTAAATCCCAGAAGATTGGTTTTGTTTTGCATAAGATTGGGGATGCACATTCTAAGAGATCACACGTGTACTAGATAGAGGCAGACAAGAAATTGGATGTGAAAATCAATAATTTCCCTTGTCAACAGACTTCCTATCAATTATCATCATTTCCACTATGTTCTTTTTTATTTACGAGTAACAGTGGTGAGTGATTATTGGGAATAGGCTGAGAAGGACTGGTTTGCTAGTAATGGATAGCATTTATATAGCAATAAATAACATACTTGGTCCGTAGATGGACAGCATTACAGCATTTTATTAGGAACACAAAAAATGGCATGTCCCTTGCATTATGCTTTATTCAATTTTTGTGTGGTCCGTTTTAAGATTTGTTTTGAAAATTTTAATCTATAAGCATTCTAAATTTAACGAGCAAGTAATTCATGTATAAGCTCAATTGAGAAGTTAATTGCGCAAATTGACCAAATTGTAAAATATCTCGATACATGGGCTATAGACATAAACATAATGTTCCAAAAGGGACAAACCTTCAAATGTAAACTTTGAAAAAAGTGGGCAAAAGGAAATAAAATAAGCATCATCACAATCACTCCTTACTACAGACAACCTAATTAAGAAGACAAGAAGAATTCCAAGGCAAGAAATGCCTCTTAAGTCTGTGCCCTCGACATCCAGAGGACTGCCACAGAACATTTGATAAATCAAACTCAGAATTTACCCTCAGATGATCGTATCTCACCTCTTATCCATGGCAACATAGTTCACATGACATGACAGAGACACCAAAAAAGCAACCACAGCAAAAATAACTTACCATTATCGCATTGTTTTGGGCTTAGAAGCATTTTCTGTGGACAATGGATGGGCCAGACTCATCGTATTCACCCTTAGATATCCACATCTGCAAAAAAAAAAAAAACACATGATTCTTTAGAATTCAATCTAACTGGCATTGGATATCTTGGTGCTAATTTGTGGCAATAATCACCTGCTGGAAGGTACTGAGGGATGCAAGGATAGATCCTCCAATCCAGACACTGTACTTTCTCTCTGGTGGAGCCACAACCTTAATCTTCATGCTGCTAGGAGCCAGGGCAGTGATCTCCTTACTCATTCGGTCAGCAATACCAGGAAACATAGTGGAACCACCACTAAGAACAATGTTTCCATACAGATCCTTTCTGATATCAACATCACACTTCATTATAGAGTTGTAAGTGGTCTCATGAATTCCAGCAGCTTCCATTCCAATCATAGATGGCTGGAAAAGGACTTCTGGACAACGGAACCTCTCAGCTCCAATTGTGATAACTTGTCCATCAGGAAGCTCATAGTTTTTCTCAATAGAAGAACTGCTCTTTGCAGTTTCAAGTTCTTGTTCATAATCCACAGCAACATAGGCAAGCTTCTCTTTTATGTCACGGACAATTTCCCGCTCAGCTGAAGTGGTGAACATATACCCTCTCTCAGTGAGGATCTTCATCAAAGATTCAGTTAGATCACGACCAGCCAGATCCAAACGAAGGATGGCGTGGGGGAGTGCATAACCCTCATAGATTGGCACGGTATGACTCACACCATCACCAGAATCCAACACAATACCTGTTTCAAAAATGATTTAATTGAGGGACAGAATAATGAAATAAAAAAGGTATGTTCTGAGACAGGGATGAATTACAAACCAGTTGTACGACCACTCGCATAGAGGGAGAGGACAGCCTGAATGGCCACATACATGGCAGGTACGTTGAAGGTCTCAAACATAATCTGGGTCATCTTTTCTCTGTTGGCCTTTGGGTTCAATGGAGCCTCAGTTAGAAGCACTGGGTGCTCCTCAGGAGCAACACGCAATTCATTGTAAAATGTGTGATGCCAGATCTTTTCCATGTCATCCCAGTTACTAACTATACCGTGCTCAATGGGGTACTTAAGAGTAAGAATACCTCTTTTAGATTGGGCTTCATCACCTACATAGGCATCCTTCTGACCCATCCCAACCATAACACCAGTATGACGAGGTCGGCCAACAATACTTGGAAACACAGCCCTAGGTGCATCATCACCAGCAAATCCAGCCTGCACACATATTATAGATCAACAAATCACTCAATAACAAAACCAAGAATCAAATACACAAACATAACAAAAAGAAAAAAAACTACAAAATACTAACCTTCACCATTCCAGTTCCATTGTCACACACAAGGGGTTGAATATCCTCAGCATCAGCCATCTTTTACAAAACTACAGCATCAATGAATAACATTATCAATACTAACAAATGCTGACCACCCACAGAACTCAGCCAATTACAAGTTTGTAAAACTAGTTTTACTTCAAATAATACTATATATAAACAAAAAAGGTTCACATTGTATACAACAAACACAAACATCAACAACATTGAAGCAAAGAAATGAAATAACACAGTAATATTCAGAATGTGCAACCTTCCATCTTAAGTTTCTCACTCAGAAATGTACTAAATCTTCAATTTCAATTTCAATTTCCTATGACTCAGTATATCTCAACTTTCCAAACACAAAATGAAGTTCTATAAATGATAAACTAGGGTTACAAAAAGAAGAAACAGAAAGATTCACAATTTCACATATCAAAAAGCAGATCAGACCATAAATCCAGTAAACAAATCAACATAAGCAAAACTGCTTAAAGTAACACCAGAAAACCAGAATCAGTTCAAACTGATTCCAGATCCAGTATGTAAAAGATCACAATCAGATACAGCGATAATCCACAAGCATGAATCAGATCACAGATCAGTCACTAGTTATCCACGATCTACTCTATCTCAGTTACACAGATCAAGTAACATCAATAACAATCGCAATAATGAATTAGGGAAAACACATAAAAATTCAGATTAGGTAACTAAAAAAGCATTGTTGAACAAATCTGAGTACAAAAAAGTGTAGATTGCGAGAATCAAAAACCTAAACGATCGGAGAAAAAGGAAATTCATACCGTGAAAGTAGAGAGAAAATTGATGGAAGGAGAAAGAAAGAGAAATTCTTCTCTTGAAGTTTCTCTTTCTCTCGGCTACACAAAATGGTAGAGAAAAATGGAAGAGGGGTATTTATATGAGAGAGAGTGTGGTTATGGGCGTGACTCGTGATAATAAAATGGTTAATTTGAAAATTGAATTTGGAAATTGAAATTGAAGATACTAGAGAGTAGAGAGAGAGAGAGGGAATCATTACGACCACGAGAAAGAGAAAAAAAGATAGATAGGGTGACCTGGTTGACAGCCTTTTCCTTGCCACACTTCCCTTTTTCAACTATTTTTATTTTTATTAAATCCATAAATTTATAACTCTTTATTAAATTAAAAAATTTATTTTAGTATTTTTTAATGAATATATTAATTTTTTTTTATAATTATTATCTATAAATATATTTTTCATTTTTTACACGACTTATCTTGTATATCATGAGGTGCAAGTTCTTTTATTGTAGTTCTTCAAATAATAACCTCATGTTTTTATTTTTTATTTGAATCTTTCTATGTATTTTTAAAGTCCAGGTTATAATGAGGTAATATTCACTTACAATTCCGTTCTATAAGATTAAGTTAGACTTTCTCACAATTTTAAAATGATATTAGACTATCGTTTAAGTTTTGTTGGTAGTTTCGGATTATATCTTTGTTTATATTCTCATATTAAGTTCAATAATAATGAATATATAATATATATTAAGAGTCTTATACCGGACAATATATAATATGAATATATATTTATAAGTAGAGATAATCACTATCTTATAAGTCATTTCTATAAGATTGAGTTAAACTCAACAATAATTCTAAAAAACAAATTAATATGTCATTACTGTAGATAGGCAAGTTAATGGTCTAAAAATAGTTGTGGATGTGTTCTAGCCGTCGAGTTTAGATTCATATAAAAATCATTGGTGATGAATACCTTAATTTTGTCTCGGTTTATTGTTTTCTTTTCAAAAATAAAATTACTTTGTTTAATTTTTATTTATTTAATTTTTTAATCCAACTGATTCTGAATGAATGACTTAAATCACTCATACGTGAATTTTTAACTAAATGTGAAAATGATAAACACTGTATTATAATTAATTGTCATTTGCACGTAATTAAATTTTCACCAAATTTTATATTTCTTTAATTTTGTTTTGATTTTTATCTTGCATTTTCCTTAAAACTATCAAAAAGATAATTAATAAATTAGTGTTATTTTATATTTCATTTAATTGAAAATAATAATAATAATAATAATAATAATAATAATAATAATAATAATAATAATAATAATAATAATTTTTCAGTTTAATTTAATTTTGATTTTTTTATATTTTTTAGTAATGGAAATCAAAACAAAAATATGTCATATAATATTTACAAACATTAAATCACTTACATGATATGCACTTTCTAACACCAATTTCATCAACTTCAGTGCATATATAACATCAATTAATTTCAATTGCAAAAAAAAAAAAAATTCATGAACAACTCACATCAAGATTTCTCATCAAAAGCCCAAACAATTTGCAAAATCTAGAAATTGAGAAGTTAACATCTTAAGCATGCATCTACCCATTATATAATCATTATACAATCACATAACCATGTAAAAACTCACTGTGATATGGTGGGAGAACTGACTTGATTATTTTGCGTTTGTGTTTGTAAATGTTGCGGTTTAGCAAGAGTCACCACCGACTTTTCTTTTATCCGAAAGGAAATGTGAAAAAGTACAGGAAAGACTTTTAGAGATGTTTTCTTGAGTTCGGGGAGTAGATTGTGAAAAGGGAAGGTGTGATCGGTGGATCTGGAACTGACTGTTTAACGCTGGTTCGCGAAATATCGCGGAAGCAAGAGTCGCCACCGTCTTTTATTTTCTCCAATATGGAAAGGACAAAAGCACAGAAAAATTCCTTATTGAGATTAGCTCTCGGTTCGGGAGGTAGATTTATAGAAAGGGAAGGTGTTAGCACCCTTTCTATCCATGGTTATCCATGGGCTCTTAGATACTTGCTCATTTGTGTTTTCAAAAATGGTTTGTTTGCTTTTCAACTGTGGGTTTGAAAAAGTTTCTTTGAAAAATTCCAGTTCGACTCTTGTATCGGTCCTCAAGAGTGTTTGGAAAATTGCTTTCGAAAGCTTTTGAAAAGGTGTCGGTGTGAAAAGTATTTTTGATTTTATTTTGAAATTAGAGCAAGTATCTAGAGTTGTCTACCTACCCTAAGGAGTTCGTCTGTGTAAATGTTCTTTAAAGTAGTGCCATCCCACCATTGAGAGGTTGGTAGCACCACCGTTGGAGGTGTTCGGGTCAATTCGAAGGTTCGGGACATGGTGATCACCGGAGCAATAGGAAGATACCTTAGAAGCTACTCTCATGCCAGGTTCCCGGATCATGAGGACTTACTAAGACATTCTCTACTCGACGATCACCGTTCGAGGCAAGGCAACAGTGAGGCGTACCCTAGGGGTGGTGTGTGATTTGTGTGTCGTTTTCAGATATTTTTGTCTTTTGTCATGTCATGGGTGATCTACGCTTTTGTTTTTATTTTGTCATTCATTCTTGCATGCCATTATTAACAGTTAAAAAGTTGCGGAAATTAAAGTTCCTAAACTATTACAAAGGCGCGGGTCCACATCGCCAAATTAAATCCAAGACCCGATTTGACATAAAATAAAGAAATAAAGTAAAGTGCGAAAGATAAATATTTACACGGCTTTGGGAGAATTACATTAAAAAAATTATAAGAAAGGAAATAAATGCGCGAATTGGAATTAAAATTGAAAGCGAGGGCGTTGGACCCTTTTTAATGAAATTAAATTATGATCGACGAATTAATTAAATTAAAATAAAAAAAGAAACTGTTTTTGAGGTTTTTGTATTTATGAATTTTTAATAAGAGAATTAAATGAAATTGAGAAATTAACCCTAATTCTAGTTTTTTTATTTATTAAGAAAAACATGTTAAAATTAAACCTAAAATTAATCTAATTATTTACATGGTAATTTATTTACAAAAATAATATTTAATAATTAATTATGGTGAAAGAAAAGAAAAAGAATAAAAAATACTTAAAACCCTAATTCTACACTTTTTTAATTTATTAAGAAAAATATTTGAATTAAACCTAAATTTAAAAAGCTAAATTAAATTAATGAGATTTATTTACAAAAATATTAGTTAAATAAAATATATTTTGAATTTTGTCTTTTCTGATTTTTTGTTATTTTATATTTGATGAAAATAAATTAATTGAAAGAATTATATTAAAACTAATTAAAATAAATAAAATAGAAAAAATATGAAAAAAAGAATGAAAGGCAAACCATGGGGGGTTCTGTCCCCAATTGGAGGTTTTTTTTGGCAATTCTGGCCCACTTGTCTATGGCCTCGTTTGACTTTTATGCTGGCGTGCCTGTGTGTTGACTAACGTTCATGATGTTCTTCAAACATTGGCCCTTGGATCACCCTCAGTGGCCATGTGGCGCTCTTGGATTATGGAGTGTACGCTGGAACTCTGGAAGCGAATTACACATAAGCATGATTAGCAAAATAATATGGAAAGGGAGGGGGACCTGGGATTCGAACCCAGGTCCCAGAGGTTACCAATACACGTTCCTTGCCAGCTGCGCTGTTATGCTTCTTTGTATATTATATAACTAATAAACAATATCAATCAAAACGTGAGTTAATGGACAATTTCAGCGCGAAATTCAAATGAACCAACCACGCCTTGACACCTGATCTCCTTCTTCGTTGCTTGTGTTTTTCCTGAAACAAAACAAACAAGATTGCGGGGGTTTTAAACCCCCACTATATGCAGTGTGAAAAAAATAGCGAATAGGAATCCCTGCATCAGAAATTAAGCGCGATATGTGTGTTCGATTCACATGGAGCTTCTCGTTCCAATGGCTCAAGTCTTAGGGTCCAATTTTTCTGGACGAGGAAACCCCCAATTTTTCAGGTCTGAAACCCTAAGGTGCTTCAATGGTGATTCTTCATACAATGCGTGAAAACTCAATTAAATCATATGGTTAGTTTCAGAATCAACCAATTAGTATAAATCAAGAATAAAAATGCATGGATATGGCCTGAATAATAAAACACGATTATGCAAAAAGAGTGAGACAGTCTGACTTATAATTACCAATTCTTGATGTTAGGGATAATGATTTTTATTCAAACACGTTCCTTGAAGCCTCAGGAACACAATGGAATGATTGTTTGGCCTTGAATCGCACTGGAATGTGGTTTTCAGTTTTGGACTTTTTTCACAAAAACTCAAACTGGGTTCTTCTTTCCTGGCGCAGCTTAGAGGTTATGAACACTAGGGTTTGCATGAGTATATATGTGTGAACGATTAGGGTTGAGTTTTTGGTCCAAAGAATCAAAGCATTGATGTAAAGAATATTGGATTTTCATGCATATAATTTTCAATCTTTTTCATGCATATTTGATTCAAATCATGTCCAATTAACTTGATTCTTTCCCTATCTGATTATGCACGAAATCTTGAGACTATTTTATGCATAAAAAGATTTGATTGCATTGGTTTGGTATTTTTCATATATTTTAATTAATTAAATGAATTATTAGTAATTAAAAATTCAAATAAATAAATAAAAATGATGAAAAACTCCCCTTTGGGCCAAATGGTCGTGCACATGCTTTGTATGATGAATCTTGGAAGAAAAAGAGGCCCATTAGCAATTTTAAGACATTTGAAGCAAAGTTGACTTTTCAAAATATCCAAAAATTTCCCAACTTCCACAAGGCATATCTTGCTCAATTTTTAAGCTTTGCTCATGTTCTTGGACATTTTGGAAAGGTCTTGAAGTCCTATAACCCATGCCTTTGGTCCCATGTCATTTTGATTTACCAATCTCAAGTTATGTCCTTTGACTTAAAGTCCCTTTTTGTTGACTTTTGAAAATGACCTATAATGTTGAAATTGATAACTTTTTGTGAGAGCATTTCTTGGACTTGAAGTGTGAATAGGAGTTGTAGGAAATGTCTTTCTCTTCTAAATGAGCTTTGGATGGAATTTTTCTGATAATCCATGTGGAAGTTATGCTCTGGTCAAGTTACAGTTGACTTTTTCAACTGTCCAACTATGGAAACTTTTGCATCTTGAGACTTTTTGAACCATGCTTTGAGAATCATGATC